TTTAGCCATGTGAGGGCAGCCTCCTCTTCACCAACTGCAAGAAGTATTTGGTCAGTTGTTGTGGCTGTCGTGTTTTCATCTCCCTTTGATTTACTGCTTTAGCCTTTGTCTCTCTGGCTTGGACAGTTTCTCTTTATGTGACCCTCCTGGCCACAGTGAAAACAAGTGAAGTTAGAGTTACCTCGACCTTTGTGTCTCTATATTTACTCATGCTGTTCCAGCTGCTTCTACTCTTGCTTCTTCCTTTACCTCTGTCTCTGCCTCTGTTTTCTATAACAAGGGCATGGGACTGATTACCTCCCATGTCTTTCTTTCTTGTTTCTTCATTGTACATGGCGTCTGTGACCATGCTCATGGTCAGCTTCCCTTCTGGTGCAGAGTTACTGAGAGAAACTACCAACGTCTCCCAACTGTTCGGTAAAGAACTGAGTAGTAGTACGGCTTACATTTCATCGTCCAAGATCATCTTGACGGTTGCCAGCTGATTCACTAGATTTTTGAATTCACTGGTGTGCTCAACGACAGACACACCATTCCTCAACTTCAGATTTACAAGTCTTCTCATCACCAAGGCTTTGTTTCGAGCGGTCTTTGACTGGTAGATGTTGTCTAACATTGTCCAAAGAGCATAGGCATCTGTCTCCTGGACAACATGATGGAACACACTGTGATCTATCCATTGTCTGATACAACCGATAGTCTTGTGGTTCATCTTTATCCAGTCATCATTCTTCACTGCTTCTGTTTAACCCCTTTCAGAAAAATAGGGTCAAACAGGTCCTTATAATTTATTTTTTTTCACTTTGATCCTTCATGTTTCATTTTTTTTTCAATTTACTCCTAAAATTAATTTATATCCAAAATTATACAAAAAAATAGCATAATAACTGTCACATAATATAAAAAATATATATATTTTTTTTATATTAGAGTTTAAGTTTATATTAAAGATGTGAGTTATATATAATAAAATATTTTTATGTCACATAATTGTTAATGTGCCATTTTTGTTTAATTTTTAACAGAAATTAGTTTAGAAGTAAACTGGAAAAACTTGAAACATGAAGGGCTAAATTGAAAAAAAAAAAAAAAAAACTTTACATGCCAAAGTGGGAAAGTGACCAAACACAAAGGACGCAAAGTGTAATTTACCCTTTATTTTATTGCATAATTCCTGTTAAAGGTAATTTTTTAATGTGCAATGTACATTGTATACAACTCTATACAAAATTACGTAAGTTTTCACGAATTTACATAAGTAATCTTACAAAAATACGTAAATTGAACACAAATTCGCTTAAGTTTGTGAAACTTATATGATTACGAGAATCTGTATTTAACTTACACATTTTTATGGAGTCACATATAATTTTATTTAGAGCAGCATATTGTATACATTGCACAGTGAAATTTTTTTGTCCTTTTATTAGATCATCTTCAATCCTTCATCAAATTTAAATTTGATGAAATTTTTGATAAAAATGAGATTCAATCCTCTCATCAAACTTGCATCAAATCAAGGGAGAAATAAATTTTTTATTAAATCAAGGATGAATTAAATCTTTCACCAGATTTCTAATAAATCTTTTTCCACTTAAATTTGATAAAATTGTTAAAAGATGAAGGATTATAGTTGATTTTTTTTTTAATCAAAATTGATGAAAAGTGAACTATAGGATGAGAAAGTAATTTTTTTAAAAAAAAAATTGATAAAAACTTAATGAAAGAATTAGAATAACTTATATAAAATGAAACTTTTTATTTAAATTTACAATCAAATTTAATAAAAAAAAAATTAATGGATGATTGGAGATGGTGTTAGGCCATAACATATCGTTAAAGTCGTTTCGTGATGTGAAAGTTGTGGTTCAAGTCTTCATTGCAAGTGATGTGATGATGTCATAATATAGGATCGAGGCTTATTTTAGCAAATAGGTAAAAAGTTATTTTTTAATTTTTAATTTATTTTGAGCTACATTATTTTTATATATTTTTAAAACAAATTAAAAAAATATAAAAAAAAAATTAACTTTTAACTTATTTTGCAGAACATCAAAAAAAGCTTTTTGATTATGTTTTGCTACCACATGCCAATTGAAAATCAGCAATACAAGCCAATTGTAGGAGCAACTCTTTTGTCAAGTCAAGCTTTGTAAGCAATACAAGCCAATTATAAGAGTAACTCTGATGTCAAGTCAAGCTTTGTATACTCATGGTACGTTTGTTTGGACGGATTGATTAAAGAAATTGTAATCTATTGGACTGTTAGTTCTGGGATGCATTGTTCCTGAAACTATTTGATTGGATTGGATTTGTGTCTTATGTTTGTTTAGTCATGGACTATTTTTAGTAAATCTAATATTTGGTTGGACGAACTGGATAAGAATAAATGTTCAAAAGATTATTTTACCCTTGTAATTTATAATTTTTATTTAATATATAATTTTAAATTTGTAATCTATAATTTATAATTTAACAACACTAAATTTTTTTAATTTATAAGGCCATAATTTTTAAATTATTATTTTCAATTAAATTAAATTTATAATTTATATTTTTTTATTTAATATATAATTTTAAATTAACAACACTAAAAAAATAATTTTATTTAATATATAAATTTAATTTTTTAACAACAATAAAAAAAAATTAATTTATAAGGCCATAATTTTTAATTAAATTAAATTTATAATTTATATTTTTATTTAATATATAAATTTAATTTTTTAACAACACTAAAAAAATTATAAGGCCATAATTTTGAATTTATTATTTTTAATTAAATTAAATTAAATTTATAATTTATAATTTTTATTTAATATATAATTTTAAATTAACAACATTAAAAAAATAATTTATAAATGTTTAAAAGACTATTTTATTATTTTCCAATTGTTTATTAAGTAATAGTATGAAAGTAAAATGAACATTTTACACATTAGTCCCATGGGATTGCAATCTCATGGAAATAATCCTACTCCTCCCCTAAGATACAATAATCCCTCATATGAGGGACTAATAGTCCGGAGATACTATTAATCCGGAGTAAAAAAATTAAACCAAACAATTGATTATTAGTCTGAATGAATTAATAATTCAATCCCATAAAATAATCCCTCAAAACAAAAACACCCAAAGGTTACGTTTGTTTACCCGCGTGAGAGCCAGGAGTGGAATAAGATGGCTCATGGCGTGTTTAGTTGTAAAATGAGACGTAGGATTGATACTCCAATGGGGGGTTTAGTTTAGCTGGATTAGTTTGGCAGAATAGGAGGTGAGATTGAAAAAATAGTTCAAAAAATTAGAGTATATTCGGTCGTTCGTGTAGACGTTTGACTAGTTGATTAGAATAATGCAACTGTTTTTTTTTAGGGAAAATTACCAACAGGTTCTTGAGATTTGACTAAAATACAATTTTCTCTTGAGGTTTGAGAAATTACTTCACGCCCCCTGACGTTTATATTTGCATAAGAAATTGTCTCCTGAGATTTATATTTGCATGACAAATTGCCCCTTCATTTGTTATGCAAATATAAATCTCATGGGGCAATTTGTAATTTCTCAAACCTCAAGGGAGAATCCATATTTTAGTCAAACCTCGAGAGTGTGTTAAAAATTTGCCCCTTTTTTTTATATCATGGGCGGCCTCTTATCTCTGAATTTATTTTTTATACTTGTAGATTGATTTTATATAAAAAATAATTCAACAATCTCCACACTAACAACTATCATAAAATAAAATAAAAAAACACACCTTTACTTAGATCCCTCACTAACAATTTTCTTACTAACATTCTCCTCACTAACAATCATATTCGACCTAATCTGCCAAACAAACGTGGCCAAAAAAATTAGCAATATGCTTACGTATCTACATTTTTTAAAAATAATAATAATAAAGACAAATATACATATAGTCCATATTTTGAATTTCAACATCATCTTATGTGCATCTCGACTAATTTTGGGATCCACACAAAACGCCCCCTCCACGTTGGTCGGGCAATTCTCAAGAAGAACCCGCGGATGTAGCCACAAGGAGTGGATTACTCCTAATGAGAGTTGAACTTGAGATCTAGAAGAAACACACTATTAGAGTCCAAATTGTATCCAGGAGGCCAACCCTTTAAGAGTTATAATATACGTAGTTAAAAAAATATTTAAATCTTATTCCCTGAAAAAAAAAAATTGAATTAAATATATTGTTAAAACAATGGCAAAATTAAATTTTATCTCAAAATACTAATAATTACAATTGCAAAGTTAAATTACTTTAATAATGATAATAAAATTTTATTCATCTGGAAAAAAAAAATCAAAAAATTAGAAACTTTGATACTCCTCTAGATTAGTGAGAGAAATAATTGGCATAACTTATATAAGTGTACTTATTTAGATAACTCTATTTATTTGAATCACATCACCTCTCTATACTTTTCTTTTCTCTTTTTTCTTTTTCTTCTTAAAAAATCAAAAAATATATTTATTTATATCATCTCAAATACCCTTTTAGAAAGTGACGTGAAAATTAATTATGCCAAAATGACAACCCACCAACGAAATCATATAGTCAAAATATCATTTATTTATTTTTTTTGTAGTAAGCTAAAAGAATAGTTTTGCAAAATTTTGACAATTATATCACAAAGAAACTTCAACCATGTCATCCCATGACTTCCATTGCTATTGACAAAAGTCGTTGCAATCATAGAGAGTCATTCCTTGGCGAGAAAGTACTAAAAATTTGGTGCATTTTATTATAAATAGAAGATGCAACCCATGTCAATTACAGATCAACTGAAAATTCAGACTACCTAGGGCGGGGGAGAGAGAGAGAGAGACAGAGAGAGATACAGAGAGATGGATGTTGCTGAACTGCATGATATTGTTATAGTTGGGGGTGGGATATGTGGGCTTGCCACTGCACTTGCCCTTCATAGGTGACAAATTTATTTATTTTATATATATTTGCATGCATACCCAATTGATATTTTACAATACGTTTTGGCTGTAAAATAATTGATGTCCAAATGGATCCATTAACTTCACTTCCAATTCTCCAGCTTCATGATGGCACTGTAATCAAAGCTATGGTAATTTTATCTTACAAAAACATATGAAATTTGCATAGAAACAAATTCCAATAGATTAAAGAATACTCATGAGTGATGGTCTAATCTAGAAGAATATAAGAAAACAAATTTTACTTTTTAGGTATTATAATCTAGTAGAATCTAAAAATGAAAAGTGTTAGGAAAAATCTTGGATTTTTTTTATTGAAGATGAAAAATAACCAACAAAAAACAGGTTAAAAAAAGAATTGTGCATTGACTTTATTTATAAGAGTTAACATGATTTAAATAGAAAGAGTTCAAAATTTACAGCACAAAGTTGAATGTCTCATTGAAAATTAAAACAATTTTTTTTTTAGGTGCAAAAAAAATTAAAACAATCGAACAACTTAAGTGTAAAAAATAATAATAATTTAAAGACTACACTGAAAACTAAACCAAAGTTGAAAGATCATTTAATTGATTAAAATTACTTGATCTAATTTGGGATTGTAATTTGTGTATATATATCAATGGCAGGTAGTGATAGGATGTGATGGAGTAAACTCTGTGATTGCGAATTTCATTGGATTAAAACCTCCGAATCAGTCAACAATAGGCGGAGCGAGGGGTTTCACAAATTACGAAAATGGACATGGATTTAGCCCTGAATTTGTTACCATCAACAAAGGCCATGTTTTGCTTGGAAGAGTCCCCCTTGATCACAACCTTGTATTTTGGTTTGTTACCCGTCCAATCCCACCTCAAGGTAATATCTTACTTGTTTTTTTGGATTATTTAAAATTATGAATCTGCTTCAAATTTAAATTATATGTGAATCTACAATACCGTTGAATCTCAACGACCTGTTTATTTTTTGGGTCATTTCTTGATACTTGTTTTTGGGTACTTAGACTTTCAAATTTAACATATGAACAAAAAGAAAAATCATAAATTAATTGATTCTTTGTACATGTCAACTTAGAGGCTATTTGAGAAGTTAGTTTTTTAATTATTTTTTGTCTTATTGGCAAAAATATGAGTTGGAAAAAAGATTTTTGAATTTTTTGTAGCTAGTTTTTTTTTTTTTTTTTTTTTTTTTGACTTTTTTATTTATTTATTTTTTTAACTTAATAACTAAAATATGTGATTACCAAATGACTCCTCAATTATGTATTAAAGTAAAAGGTCAATATGTTTTTTTCAAATCTTGAAGGGAGAATTACTCAAAAGTGGCGACAAAAAAAAATTACAAGAACATTGGAGGTGCACATGATTATATATGATGGGATGCAAGTGAAAAATTGTAGGGGTTTGCACTCCCATGTTTAGGTTTTTTTGTTTGTTTGTTTGTTTGTCCAACTAAAAAGTAATTCCCCAATCTTAAAAGTGTTCAAGAAATTCAGGGTGACTCTCATTAATATTGAATCATTGTGAGTGTTTCACATTAAGTGATAAACAAAATATGATAAATATAATAACTATTAAATTATCCTTATATTAAATGAAGAAGAAGAAAGAACGAAAAAGATTATTAGAGATCATATTTTTTTGGTTGTCCCAATACTTTTGTACATTTATGATATGTAATTTAGAATTTCTATATTTGTGATTAAAATTAGCTAGTGTATAGTTTATGTATAAAAAGAATTTACCACACATTTGTATTTTTGAAAAAAAATTATGAGCTTGTAACATTACTGATATTGATGATGACATATTATATATATATATATTTATGCAGATTTAACAATGTCAAAAGATACAACAAAAAATCATATCATCAACACTAGAATCAGTAAAGGGATTTCCAAGAGAAATGTTAGAGATGATACAGAACTGTGACGTAGATTCACTGACTTTTAATGGTACTCGATATCGAGCCCCATGGGATTACTAAACGCAAGGTTTAGAAAAGGAACAGTGATGGTTGCTGCAGATGCATGCACGTAATGGGCCCATTTCTCGGAGAAGGAGGCTCAATTGCATTAGAAGATGCTAT